ATGAAATGGATAAACATTGGAAGTCGGCTTTAGAAGATTCAGATTTAGAAGATGTTTTCTTTTAAACAAACTAAGTTTGGATGTCAAATGTTCTGGTTTTGATGCAATTGTTGATTGTTGCATGTTTTTGACGGTTTTGTTTCTCTGCCTCAGTACTATAATGATTATGGCGACATCATCAAGGAGACTCTGAGTAAAACCAGACAGACGGACAAGATTCTCTGTGCCAAGACCCTCATCCTCAGTCTGCAGCAGGTAAGACACTGATAATACAGGGTTGGACAATATTACAGCTCTACGGCTTGAAGCAGCGCATTCACTACGTTTTGAGTGCTCCTGCGTGCGTAAACACTTTGTCAACTTGCGCCGCAGCTGTTCAATGAGCTGCTGCAGGACCAAGGACCCAACCTGGACCGAACGTCGTCTCATGTCAGCGGCATCAAGGAGCTGGCCCGCCGCTTCGCCCTCACCTTTGGCCTGGATCAGATCAAGACCAGAGAGGCCGTTGCTACGCTGCACAAGTAAGACTCTGTTCTCTAGTGGGCACACAAGACTGGGCTCTGTTCTGAGACATGAAGGATTTTAAGAATGCTTTAGGTTAGAGCTCCAAGACCACGAAGAATTGGAAGGTTTGTGATGATTTTAGTGATGTTGATTTGAATCTGGACGCAGGATGCTATTGGTGACATTCCCGAAATGCCTTCTGTGCTGAAGAGAAGTAAACCAAACACACATTTTTAGATTTCAACTAAGCTGGGAAAAATCAATTCAGCAGCCAATAAATTTAAGTAGAGTTTCTCTTTAATGTATGCAAATATTTTCTGCTAGTGAGTTACTAGTTTTTCTATTTATTTGAGTTTTGGTTTCTCTCATGTTTTTTATTGTCTTTCCTTGTTTTTCTCACTCTAACTGTGTCTGTTTTTCTATTTCTAACCTTTTGCTCTCTCTCATATCAGGGATGGAATAGAGTTTGCATTTAAGTACCAGAATCCTCGAGGACCAGAGTTTCCTCCTATCAACCTGGCCTTCCTGGAGGTTCTGAGTGAATTTTCCTCCAAACTTATTCGCCAAGACAAAAAGACAGTGTAAGTACTCCATTCCATGTTTTTTTTCCTTCTCTGCCACTTAAAGCTTTCTTCATGTAATTTCAAAATAAATCAACTATGTTTCTGTCTCCTCAGCCACTCGTACCTTGAGAAGTTCATGTCAGAGTCTATGTCGGAGCGTCGGGAGGACGTGTGGCTGCCACTGATTTCCTACAGGAACAGCCTGCTGACGGGAGGAGACGAGGACCACATGTCCGTCACATCGGGCTCCAGCAGCAAGGCCGGCTCAGTCCGCAGCAAGAAGGGACGACCGCCGGTACACAAGAAACGCATCGAGGGTGAGGAGACGGACACACACACACGCACACACATACAGGTTTTTTGCGTTTGCTGCTCTGAATCTTCCAGCTGAATGTGTTGCGTGTTGATTTTCAGAGGAGAGTAGTGTTGAGGGCTCGTGGTTGATGCGCAATGACACTCTTCAGACACCGGGAGCGCTGCAGACTCCTCAGCTCACCTCAACAGTCCTCAGAGAGAACAGACCAGCAGAACACTTGCCAGACCCGGACTCAGAACCCGGATCAGAGAACGACTTTGTACACAAGTGAGTGCATACACATAATGAAAATAATGAATCCCCTTTTATTTTGTAGTTTTACCCATCACAGCTGACTGTTTTAGAGAGGATGTTTGAGCCCCTGTTTGTCTTCAGTCCTCAGATGCAGATGTCGTGGCTCGGTCAGCAGAAGATGGAAGAGGTGAACAGGAAGGACCGGACGGGCATGAACTACATCAAGTCACGCAGCAATCAGGGCGTCCGGCAGACTGTGTAAGTGTGTCAAGCCTTAAAACCCGATGACTTTATAGTCGTTTTAGTTTCATGTCAGTCCTCAGTTAAATAAGACAGTGGCCACAGTTGTTTTTATAAGACGATAAACAGATGGATGTGTGTCTTCTTTTATAATTGTGTTTTACTGTTAATGATATTTCTCGTTTAGGCGTGGGTTGATGGAGGATGACGCAGAGCCCATCTTCGAGGATGTGATGATGTCATCACGGGGCCAGCTGGAGGACATGAACGAGGAGTTTGAAGACACTATGGTGATCGACCTGGTCAGTGACGTCACTTTGTCTCACCGCATTTGATTTGCGAAATTCCACAGAAGAAATTAAGATAAATAAGGAATCCTTGCCTTAATTGATTATCTTTGTTCATGTCTCTATTTTGGCTTTTTGTCCTTCCCAGCCGCCATCGAGGAACAGACGTGAAAGAGCGGAATTAAGACCAGACTTCTTTGACTCTGCAGCGATGATTGAGGACGAGTCGGTGAGTAAAACTTTGCACTTTGAGTCAAGAAGGTGAATAAATCTGAATAAGTCAAACAAGTTAATTGATTTGTCAATTGTCACAAAATTTCCCCGTTGGCGCCCCCAAGTGGTAATCACAAAAATGACACTGGCAGACAGCGATGCATGCTGCCTTCTGCAGATATTTCCTCTTTAAGGTTGTCTAACAGTCGCTCTCTTCTCCGCTGTTCCAGGGTTTCAGCATGCCCATGTTCTGATCCGGGAAGAGGCAAAGATCCTGAGATCAGGATCCACATCAGGAGTTAACAAGAGGGAGGTGGGGGGGGTGGGGGTTTTGAGACATCTAACCCAACATAACCTGCCAATCAAACTCTTAAGAAGAAGAAAAAAACATTCTTTAAGTACTTTTCTCTTTCTATAAGACGTGATGGAAGGGATGTTTGTCGAGTGGATCTACTGATGATCCCGCTTCGGCTGGATCTCACCTGGAAGCGCGAGAGAAAGGATCGGCTCTGTTCTTTCAGGAAGGCCGGAGGATCCAGAATATTCTCCAGAATCTAGTCCGGATTATTTCCTTTCCTTTCCAGCCTGTTGGTTTTGTTCTTGTTAGCAGTAGCTCTGATGGCGCTCTGGCTGCCGGCCGATGAGTACTCGCAGTTTTTACAGCCGCCCTCCCTCCGTTACACAGATGTACAGTTGTTTGGTTCGGCTCCCGATCAGCAGCACAGAGCAGCGTAACACTCTGTACAGCTCCCCCTTCTTTTGGTGTCGCACTTCGATCCGTCTGGTTAAATCCAACTTAGAGAGGATCTCAGTACTAAATGTTCTATATCTTTGCTCTTATTACCACCCACCGACCCCTCTCCCCTCCCTCTGTTCGCCATCTGAGTCCTTGTATGTGGTGGTGCTGATGCGTGGTGTGTGTGTGTGTGTGTTGTGTGTGTGTGTGTGTGTGTGTGTGTGTGTGTGTGTGTGTGTGTGTGTGTGTGTGTGTGTGTGTGTGTGTGTAAAGTATTGCTGGTGATGATGATGATGATGATGATGATGATGATGATGGTTGAGTTAGTCGCACATGCACACTGAGGTCCACAGCCGTAGACTGACCTGGAGGAAGTGATGTAACTGTCTTGTGTGTGATGTCAAAGCAAAGCGAGTGTTGTCATTTGACGGTGATGCCACATCCCCCACCTCCTCCTCCTCTTCCTCCTCCTCCTCCTCCTTCTCCCCAACCGACCCCCGGACAGACGCCCCACCCTTTCAGATCTCGGACATGTTCTGCACACACCCTCGAGTAACAGCTTTTTGAAGTTAAAGGTTTAAAAAAAAAAGACAATAAACATATTTTGAATTCTGTAGCTTTAGTACTAAAGTTTTAAATCAAGTGTGTTTTTGTTTTTGTCTGATGTTTGTACAGCTTTTTTCTTGAATATGTATCTTGTTTGTTGCCAAATTGTGGCCTACATACTTACAGTATATTCCAGCCCCTTCCCCCTTCACCCGTAACTCATATCTAACGGTTACCAAGCTCAGATTGTTGCTGTGGGATACCAGCTTTTTAAGCGCTGTATGGTCTGATTGTAATCGTTTCACAGTTCAGTATTACAGCAGAATATCTGTTAGGTTTCTTCATCTCACAGGTCAAATCAAGTTACAGTTTTTACACTCGCCTACAGTGTTATCCAATAAGATGAAGATTTGTTGTTATCATTGTTCATATCCAGTGCAGTGATGGATCTTTCTGTCTGACAGATTTGTTTGAATGTGTTTTGAATGTTTCCAGCCATATCGTGTTTCACCACTATTTGTTTTATCAATCATTTTACCTTTCCCTCGGCTGGCTTGGCAGTCTTGTAAATATCAGAGACAATTGGATCTTTTCTGCAGTGCAGTTGACATCAGTTGCCCTAAAATGCTCTAAAAGCCTGTTTTGTTTTTTTTTCTTTTTCTGTGAACCTAAATTCTTTTTAATAAAATAAAATCTGTAATCGATTTATGGACCAGTGTTTGTATGTGCCTTTGTTTCACAACCTCAGTGTAGTTCAAAACAGCTGCATTTTCCTCAGTGTTGCCAAATATTTCACAGCAGACCATAACTGTAGAAAATGAACTGTCAAGCTCTACAAAACAATCTCAACTCAAGATCCACTTTCTGGCTTTCAAGGGTTTCATGTGATCCTCATCAGTCGTGGAACGGTAGATGTTCAAATTTTCCACAATTTTCAGCTCCTCTAATTCTCATCCACGTTGACTTGAAAGTCAAACCTGACAGTCAAAATTGTGGAAACTTGGCTAACTCAATCTGCTAAAGAGGACCATGTAATGAGGTTCAGAACAAGTGAATTAGTGAACTTTAAGTTTAGAATATTTTGTGACCCTGGTATAATCAATATTTAGTTTCAGTTGATTTAAGATGGAGGAAATGAAGCAAATGAACTGTATTACATATGAATCCTTAACTGCAGTGAACATCGTTCTTATTCTTTGTGAACAGTCCAACCACAAAATTTTGGTTGTATGTTAAATTCACATATATACTGGAAAAAGTAGCCACTTCATTAAAACCCTCTGATATTATTCTATGTCATATTTCTTTTAAAAACACAAAAAATTGACTATTGCATTGATAAAAGTAAAGAGAACGTGGTATCAAGTCCATGATTTATTTTACAAATGGCAGAGCCTGCCGGAGAGAGAGAGAAGGCACAGTTGTAAGGATGACTTTCTTGACCTTAACGGAGAACATCAAACACAGGGAGTGAGTCTGAAAGAACTACTATACACACACACACAAACACCAGAAACACTAAGAACTAAATACAGTACATTGATGACTCTGGAAACATTGTACATGGCAGCAGACTACAGTATGTTTGCACAACAACTATCGTGTTGACAGCTGCTCAACAATACGTAATCTGCCCTTTCAGATACAATCTTGTTCTCAAAATGTCCAATCATACCAACAACAGTGACCAATATGGCCACTACTGACGTGATGATTAATGTGTGTGACCACTGTATACTGTTCAATAAAAATGTAGGATTTTCCTATTAACCTATTGCTTACTGGTGTTAAAGATGTAAAGATACACATGCTGATTTTGTTTACAGAGCACCAATGTTTTCCCCAAATTTAACACACTTTATAGTTCAACACATAAGCAGTGAGTTGATAGGACATTCGGGGAACTGCTATTAAGCCCTTACAAAATCAGGGACTGATCTTTACATCTGCTTTCAGTGGAGTGGTTAAATATGACAAAAGACATCTGCTCAGTCGTTGTCACAAGGTACCACCGCAGTTCATTTGAATATGAAGTCAATAATCAGGAAAATCCCACAGCAAGTGCCTTCAGCTAGTGTCAATGTGGAAACAGTTTTGGGTGTGTTTCACAGAGGAATGTTGGCGTGTTTCTTCCAGGGGTTGACCTGCTTCTTGCTGGCCAGCACCTCCAGATCTCTGCAGATCTTCTTGCGAGTGGTCGACGGCTCGATGATGTCATCCACAAAACCTAAAACAAATATTTGGCCGGTGAGGAAGAGAAGTGTGTAATGCATTCCACTAATGTAGGAGGGCGGTATATATTTTCGCAGACCTACGAAATAATGAGAGTTTACCTCTGACGGCAGCTGGGAAGGGGTTGGCGAATTTCTCCACGTATTCAGCCTCTGCCTCAGCCTGGTTCTCTTTTCCTCTGAAGATAATCTGAACAGCGCCCTGAGAAAAAAAGAAAGATCACACACACACTGTCGAATCAAAAAGAAAGGGAAGAAAGAGAGTAAGTGAGACAAAGAGAAAACAAATGAGTGTGTTTGTACCTTGGCACCCATGACAGCAACCTCAGCTGAGGGCCAGGCGTAGTTCACATCTCCTCTCAAGTGTTTGGAGCTCATCACGTCGTAGGCTCCACCGTACGCCTGGTACACACAGACAAACACACATGCCTTGAGTCATATGTACGTGTAAAACACTTATTGGCACTTTTTCCCAGATTTAAAATACACTTCCACTTATTTTTTTTATAATTAATAGGGTTTCACTGCACATCTGAAGGACACACAGATTTTTTGTTGAAAAATAACCCTTCCAACAATGCACTGCACTGTTCATGCTGAAGAGCAGGCAGCATTTTTCAGAAAATATGTCAAGTGGAGATTAAAGCATGGAGAATGATAATGTAATGGTTCTTATGATGCCAACTCAACACCGCACTCAGTGTGCAGCTGCTTCACAGTGTATTCCAGTAAAGAGATTTATAATGGCTTTCACTGGGAATCACTGCAGTGTTGAGTTACTGTACAGTCACTTAGCTTGGTATATTCTAACATCACTACCAGCCAGGGAAAACCCTCAACTCTAAACCTCTCTGCTAATTCTACACTCTTTTCACAGATAGGACTTTCTACATCCATCTCTTCTCTTTTTACTCACACACTCACACACACACACACACACACACACACACCTACCTTTCTGGTGATGACTGTTATTTTCGGGACGGTGGCCTCTGCGAAGGCATACAGCAGTTTGGCTCCGTGTCTGATGATGCCGCCATACTCCTGAGCAGTACCTGTTGACAACCATGACAGCAGTTAATAATGGGTGTGAGCGTGCGCTGCAGGGAACGTTTCTGCTCACATGTAATGTATTTCACCTAATGCATGGGTCATAATATTGCCAAGTCAGCCGATATTTATGGGTATCCTAGTTACGATACCTAGCTCACTCCCATACTAAAACATGTTAATAGGAATGTAAAGATATATTGCAAGACAGTTTAATCAATATAAGTATGTGAAGATTCAAATTACACATTTTTTATACATTTCCTCAGAAATAAAAAAGGATTCTATAATTTGGTTAAGAAAATAAGAGAAAATAAATTGTCATAATTTGTCTTCAATCTCATTTTGTTACAAATATTATACTGTGAACCCAGTATTACGAATTGTATTAAATTGTGAGATTACTGTATCTATAAGCTTCTTATTCATTTTCCATGAGCTGAGCTCTTTTCCTGCTTTTTGTGCAGGCAGATTGTTCCATCCTGGTAACTGTATTATTCATGGCAGCAGGGAGACACACTAGAGAATCATCCGTCAATAGCCTAACCCGATTAAGATGTAAACTAGAGCTTTATTTACAGCACAAGTGTATATGCACTGTGTGAGATTTTCAAAGAATACCTGGCAGGAAGCCCGGCACATCCACGAAGGTGATGATGGGAATATTGAAAGCATCACAGAAGCGTACGAAGCGAGCTCCCTTCACTGAGGAGTTGATGTCCAAACAACCTGATAAACAAGACATAAATTAAGGATTTAAAAGCACAACTAAAAACACATCAGAGTAGATTACTAATTAACAATTTCCAACTTATTTTTTCCCATCATGCTCTTTTTGGGGCACGGTTAGTTTGCATATATTTTTTTAATAAGGTAAATTACGCTTTTCACATAACACTAATACTTTTGCACTCTTACTTTTTTTTTTTTTTTTTTTTCTTCTCACTAGTTGTTTTACTTACCAGAAGCCACTTTGGGCTGGTTACCCACAATGCCTACAGTGCGTCCATTCATGCGGGCAAATCCCACTACAATGTTTTTGGCGTAGTTGGGCATGATCTCAAAGAAGTCCCTCTCATCCACTATCTGAACAGACATATGAACAAAGGAAACCTTTACTACTTGCAGAAATTAGATGACATATTATCGTATTTTTTTTTTGTGTGTGTGTGTGTGTGTGTGTGTGTGTGTGTGCACACATACTGTTTGAATGATGTCCAACATGTCATAGGCTTTAGTTGTCTCAAACGGGACGATGGTGTCCAATGAAGGTACCAGACGGTCGCTGAAAAGAGGAACGAGATATCAGACATGAGTTGAAATAAAAACCGGTATCCTCCCATTAAGAACGGGTTTATTGGTTGTTCTGTAAAATGGAGGTAAAGGTGATTGGTTACCTGGGGTCGTGGCTCTCCCTGATGGGGGCAGGATCCTGGTTGCTTAGCGGCAGGAAGTTGAAGAACTCTCGCATGTTGAGTAAGGCTTCAACGTCATTCTCGAATGCATGGTGGGCCACACCTGAGAAAAAGACACGGGACACTTTTTAGGACCTAAAGACGAAATTTGAAGAAGCTTCTACAGCTGAATGTTTACATGACAACAACCTTGACATTGATTTGGAAGTGGAAGCATTTAAAAAAAAACCTCCTCAATAAATCACCACAAGATAATCAGGAGTGATAAAAGCTTTTTACACGCAAACTAACCGGACACGGTGGTGTGCGTTTTGGCTCCGCCAAGCTCCTCTTGAGTCACGTCTTCGTTGGTGACAGACTTCACAACATCAGGTCCTGTGATGAAGAGGTATGAGGTGTCCTATACGCACACACACACGCACACACACACAGATGTCAGGCTAATGTGAGTGAGAATGCAATCGTAGAGACAGGACTATGTGAATAATTGTGTATCACCGCCAAAATTAACTACATTTGTAGAATTCTGACTCTAAAACATTTGATTTTGGATGTCTGCTGATGCTACAAATCAAATGAAGTTTTGATTATTACTAGATTACTAATTATAATAAAAAATTTTAGCTGTATTGGCGCAGCCTGTACCTTGACCATGAAGGTGAAATCTGTCAGGGCCGGGGAGTAGACAGCACCTCCTGCACAGGGACCCATAATGAGGGAGATCTGAGGGACGACTCCTGAAGCCAAGACGTTCCTCTGGAAAAAGAAGAAAGGTGTTGTTTTCACTTTTTCCATTTACAGTGTCCAAAAAAAACCCCAAACATCAACTATGTGAATTACAGAATGTTAATATGCCAAGGCTCTTTAAAAAATAACCATACCAAGAATATATCTGCATATCCGGCCAGAGACTCCACTCCTTCCTGGATCCGAGCACCTCCAGAGTCGTTCAACCCGATCACCGGGGCTCCAACTGTCATGGCCTGGTCCATAATCTGAGCAGAGAACATTTAAACATTGTAAATTTACTATTTGAAAGGTCTGAGATCAAACAGGAAGAACCATTGACAACACCCACAAACATGAAGAACATAAAACCCCGTCATTGTTGAACCATTTACTGAAAGAAAAGACATGTTTAACACCACTGTTCAGGCATTTATACACGCGCTCCTCAGTATCTCAGCTGTGTTTACCTTACAGATCTTCTGTGCATGAGCTCCAGACAGACTGCCCCCAAACACTGTGAAGTCCTGAACACAAAAAGGGCAAGACGAAGAATATCATACAGGTGAAACCATGCTGTTGTGTACTACCACAATGTAGGATTCTTAAAGTATAATTAAACATTGTACCTGACTGAATACGTAAACCAGCCTGCCATTGATCCTGCCTCGGCCTGTCACAACGCTGTCACCCGGGAACTAAGACAAGAGAAAGAAAAAGATACTATGAGGATAAAGACTTCAAATCCCCAGAAGAAGCAAGTGGATAAACATGACGTTGCAGAGGTCACTGGCATGTGTACGACCTGTTACCTTGTTACTATCCTGCTCCATGCCGAAGTCGGAGCAGCGGTGCTCCACGAACATGTCCGACTCGACGAAGGACTCGGGGTCCAGCAGAAGCTCCACTCGCTCCCTGGCTGTCAGCTTACCCTGCAAACACATAACACCAAGTTACATGTACCTGAGCGAACACTTTAACCAGCAGAGTCTTCGCCATATCCTTTACACTGCGGAAGCTATCTCTTTAGCTTTTGTTGTATTTGTGTCCATTGAAGCCAATGTTGTATATCATCTAGGGCTGCTTTATAATAGTATAAATTAAAAATGCAGTTTCTCCCTGTTCCCTGCAGAAAAAAACACCACAACTGTACTTTAATATCATCATATATCTTCAATGTTTAATCATTATCACCCATTTCTGTATGTATACTGCCTACATCCATGGATCCATATACAAAACAGATTGATGATAACCAAGGAACTTTATTATTATACTGAAAATATATCATAATACAGGTTTTAATATTTGTCCATCACATTGGGCTGACACACTGGACACTGGGATTGACAGTTTCAGATGTTGCCTTGCTCAAGGGCACGGGAGATCAACAAGATGGCTGTTTTCCAAAGCATAAGGCAAAGTATCTCAAGTGCCACTAGCAAGGAAGTTTTTTTTTAATGTCACTAATAAGTGTGTGAGGGGGCAACAAAACAACAACAACACTGCAGCTCCAGCAGCAACCACTGATCCAGAGCCCTTGAGCCAGGCATTACACACCTCAACCAATCCAGCTGTCAGTGTATTTTAAGGGCTTTAAGTTATGAAAAAAAAATATGCTTGTGTAAAAGCAGAAAGAAAGAGAGTAAATATTAGCTGACTTTACCCTTTTGTGTTGTGCATCTATTCTCTTCTGACCTCCCCCGACCAGCGCCGCCGTCCGTTTCTTGTCAATCCTCTCCTTAACGGACAAATGGCTGACAGAATACCAGCGACAGTCCCGTCGTAGGTTCGTCTGCGGCACCGCAGCCGCGACGGCGCCATGTTTCACCGGCGCCAAGCTCCTGAAAGATGTCCTCAACCCGTTTATCAATCCGCAGCTGCTTCGAGCCACACTGAAAGCCGCCATCATTGCCCCTGCGTGTTCTCGGGTGACAACGGGCGGAAATGAAAGACAGAGATTTGAGCCAATAGCGAACGGGGGGCGAGCTCGAACAGCCAATAGGAAAGAAGGAATTCGTAGTCAGAGCGGGTGGGCGGGACCTAGAGGGTATCAGTTCTCCTGTAGTTCATCGTCGCCTGTAAGCTGAAAGTCAAGAGTTTAGGATCTCTTTGCCCTGAGTTTAGCTTGTCAGGAAGAACTTCCTCTCAAATTGGGACTTATCTTGCTGGTTGGATGTTCTAAATACCAGACAATGCCATAACCCTTCAAAGTATACACAGGAATATAATCATTTAATCTGTAGAGCTTGTTAGGGTACCCGGGGTTAAAGCTGCCTGACAGGTCAAACACAGGGCATTTTTATCAAGGTAGTTTACAAAGTAAATATTGTATTTAATTTCTTAGACAACCCTGTTTATAGAAAATAATATGTTGCCCTCTACAGCCTTATGTAAGACGTGTTAATTAAGGCTAAAACAGACATATCTGCATATTAGTGAGGTTATATAAGCAGGACAGGAATTGTAACCTATGAGAAAAGGTGTTCTAATAATTGTGATTTATCAAATAACTGCATTTTATTCTATTATCTGGGATAAGTGGGGTCTTATGAACCACTACCTCATCTGGATGCCCCTGAAATAAACACTTACCAATGTTTATGAATTAAATATAACAACATTCTCAATTATGCCTGAATTCATTCTGCACTGAAGAATAGTGGGGTTCAGAGATAGAGTTAGATTGAGTCATTAAAATAATAATAATAATAATTAGTTAATTAGTTTCCAGTCTTTAATAAATCATAATATGAGACTTTTTTTTTTTTTTTCATTCTTGGCCTTGGGAATAGTATTTTAACAAAATAATCTTAAATCAAGGTCCACCTGCGTGAGAGGAGAGTTGAGTAAATGGACCTTCTGTCTATTATTAAACTTAAACTATTAAACACCGGAGTAATTGTTAGGCTAGTAGTCTATATCAAGTTATCCTCAAAAAGTGGATGCTGCACAAACTTTTCCAAACGTTGTTATATTAATAGATCTGATAATTCAGTAAACAACGTATAGTATATTTTGCACCATTAAAAACGTTTTTTATTTTCTCTATAATAGTAGCAACCACAGAGTCACACCATCACATGCAACTTGATCTTCATCATTCTAGGTATTTGTTGTTAATGTGGACACATATGCAGTTTTACCCCTCGGCTGTGGTCTTAGTGCTGACCCTTTCAAATATTTATTTATTTAACTTAACACAAAAGGGAATAAAAGCTGATGAAAAGACTCCATCGTTATTCTCTCTCTATTCATCTTAAAATAAATAATTAATTAATTGCTGTCAGAATCAGAATTAAAAATACTTTACTGATCCCTGAGGGGTTGTTACAGTTGCTCATGGTGCATACACAATGTTAAAGAAGATAAATACTATCATAATACAATATCTAACACAATATATAGAGAAATAGAAACTTATATATAGGTATATACATATAAGTAAAAACAATTACATATACAATAAGAGGCTAGTATGTACTTTATAATAAAATATATACAATATATGAGAATATAAACAAAAGTAAAAGTATGCCACAATATGTGACCGAGCAATAGTTGTGACTTTTTAAAGAGTGTAGTATTAAAGATGTTATAAATGAATAGAAAGAATGACGGAATAAGTCAGTGTGTTGCAGTGTAGTGACCCCGAGCATCGCTCCTCGATCAGATAATAACTCATTAATCGATAAAGTGTTATCAATGAGGGCCACCGCAGCGCGTGCGGAGGACAACGTGAATCCTTCGTACACTACGGTAACCAGGGTAACTGGAGGAAGTCTCGCGTGATGATCGTGCCCGTCGAGAGAGGTTGAAGCGAGGAAAAGTGGAAAATCGAAAGATTGATGCGTCTGTAAAACGACTAGTTAGCTATGTTCCGGTCGCTGCTCGCCAAGTACTACAGTAAAACGTATCAAAATAGCAGGATTTCAATTTACAGCTTGCACATCCCTCCTTCGCGCGAGGTATAGGGCGGCCGTACGAGTGTGTGTGTGTGTGTGTGTGTGTGGGGGTGGGTGGGGGGGGTGGCGGGGGGTTAGTGGCACGGTTGAATCTTCGCTAGCTAATTCGGCTAGCCATGCCAACGCTAGCAGGTTAGCTTTGTTTACATCAAGTGCGCGCCTGGGAACTGGTGGCTAACTGCTAGCCAAACGAATGTGCGGTCTTAGGAGTTGCTCTTCGATCAATTAGGCACCGACGAAGAGACAGTGTCGGATATTAAATGGGCTCTATGGCCAAATTCGACCATATATCGTGTGAGACGTTTGGCTGATGGCAGAAGCTAACGCTAGCTACACGATGCTAACCCTTTGATCATGGGTTGTTGGATCATTTGAGTCACTGTTAGGCGTTACGCAGCGTCAGGGATAATGTGAGTAATTACAACCCAGGGGGGGTCGAATAGGTCCGAATTGACAGAAGCTGTAACTGGGATCGGAAAGACTTCGTTGGTGGAGAGGAACGACTACGAACCAGGGATGCTAACTTGAGCTAGCCGCCTGCCGAGCTAACGTGCGCGTTCAGTGATAACCGCTTCAGCATGTTCGTTGTCTATTATTGTGTCTATTATTGTGTCTATTATTAATTCACATGTCTGCAGTGGCACAGTGGAGTGGCTGACTGTTGGTCCACCAGGCTAGTTTCTATATCTCCTCCATCCACTCTGAGACTTGGCTATCTTTAAGCCTTCAGTCGCAGCGAGTGGTTGCATTTTTTTTTTTTTTTTTTGCCCGGGCCGTGTTTCCCCGAGGCTGCGGAGTGCACCGCTATGAACCCCGTCAGTGCAACCACTCTGTACGTGTCCGCCAGCCGGGCCGTACTGCAGTGTGACCCGAGGCAGCCCAACACCTTCGCAGAGATGTACACGCTGCTGCCCTTTTTCCGTCAGTCCCTCGCATGCCTTGTCTGTGGTAAGCACTTTTTTCTTTTTTGTTGTTGTTGTTGTTGTTGTTGTTGTTTATAACAGGTATACATCGCACTCGGTCTAATGCTGTTTTGTGCCATCGCATTGCAACATGATCACCTGATTCGTAGCGCACATTACATTTCGCATCACTTAACATGAATGAGGGTTTCATAACCTTACTATTCATATTGACTGGAGGGGCCGTGGGCGTGCGTGTGCTCATAGCAGTTGACACAATTTGTCGTGCTCACCGCCGTGGTCTCCTTAGCAACCGAAGGCTGAGCCCCAGTCATCTGTCCTCTTGTCAAGACAGATGACTCCTCTGTTGTTGTGTCTGCTGCAGAGCCATGTGTTTCCTATTCATGCCTTTGTTTACTCAGTCCTGTGTAGTTGATGGAGTATCAACACTGGCACAGTTTGCATTTAGAGATGTGTAATATTTGGGAGAGTGATATATGACAGTATTTTTCACCTCTGCCGGTCATGTAATGGGTGATTTTTAGCTTGATTATTTTGCTCTCGTGCTATATGTAATCAGAAGTACAGGCTGGAGGAGATGTAAGCTGTAAAAATCAGCAGTTTGAATTTTTGATTGAACAGGTTGGAGTGTATTTTTGTTGTTTATTTCAGTAAACCGGGTTAAGTTCAAGAAGCACCAGCATTTGAGGCACAGAAACAATTAAAACGTCGCATGAGTCACAGATTATGATATTACATTTATTAATTTCCCTGCCCTGCTTCAAATGCATCCTTTGGTACTGAAACAATTGATAGAACATTCCTTTTTATAATTTATTTTATTTTTATATATTTTATTAAGTAATTTCAAAAAGCTTAAGCTTGTTTGGGTTCAGCTTTTCATTTGCGGAGATTTGCTCTTTATCCCTGCTTGGGCTTTTGGTCAGACGAATAAAGATATTCGAATAAGTCACCAAATGGTTAACTGAGAAAATAACCGGCAGCTTAATAAATTCTAATTGTAATTACAACGGTTTCTTTAGAGGCATGATGGTGAATGGAAATGACTTAATGACATAGTTGATTGTGCTATAGTTGCATATACATAAGGATTAACAGCTCAGTCTTGTTTTTGTCTCAGGTAAACTGCTCCAGGATCCCATTTCCCCAACACATCCAGAGTGTCAGCATTATGTCTGCTTGGGCTGTAAAGGCCAGAAGATGCAGATCAGGCCGCCGTGCAGCCGCTGTAAAGACTATTCCGGCTTCCAGGAGAACAAACAGCTCTCTTTGTTGGTGCAGTGCTACAGGAAGCTCTGCCTCTATGTAACTCATTCGCCCTTGCTGCAGTTGATCAGCAGCCATGTAGGAGGGTCTCCAGAGGTTATGGCCTTGCTAGAGGAGGTGCTAATGTCACACGAAGAGGAGATAGAGACAGAGGACCTAAGCCTTGCACAGGAAGATGTGAATCCCTCTGTCACTGAGTCCCTTACCCCCACAGAGGCACCACCTGCTCCTGCAGAGCTTTCAGCTGTACCCCAGAGCTCCTCCTCTGACCCACCCTGTTCCAATGGACCACAGGAATGCAATGGAGAAGGGCTAGAGGACCTGGATCCCTCGTCCCCGGAGCTAGAAGTATGCGAGCTGGTAGAGGAGCAGCCACAGGCAGGCCTGTCTGTGTCCAATACTGGTTGTGGTGGTCTTGAACTGAGTCTGACTACTGGACATTTAGCCCCAACTCCAGGCACTGTGTGCTCACTCAGGGATGGGGAATCTAGCAGCAGGGAGCTGGAGGAGGGGGAGGTGTTGCTTCTCAGTGTGGAGGAGGTCTTACAGACTTTGGATCCTCTTCAGCCCGGTCGAGATTCTTCTCATATACAGTCAGAAAGAACACACACTCACACACACTTAACTACGGACAGAGCACACGCTCAAATGTACATACAGCTGGACGCAGCTCACAACTACACACAGATTCGAACAGACAGGACTAACACAGTGGCAAGCCATGGTGCTCACATACACACATCCTCCTTCGATCCTCCTCCAACCTCCAAGCCCCCGCCAGTCCGCCTTAAACGTAAACGATCTCGCTCAGAGAGCGACAGAGAAAAGGTGAAACCCCTCCCTATCGCCTCCATCCTGCAGGGCTCCTCCTCACACTTACACACTCCACACCCCTCTCAGACACTGCACACGCAACCACCCACACCTCCTTTAACAGTAACAGCACACGCATACTCCCCCCTTCCTAATGGGGTGCCTCCCAAGCCTAGTCGCCCTGCGCCAAATCACAATAAAGGTGCCAGGAAGCACGTTGACCCGGGCCCTAAGAAGCCCCATGCAAAGGCCCGCACTGGTGCAGGTTCCAAGACGAAGGACGGAAGCAAAGACCAGCGGTTGATGGCAGGCTGCCTTGTTCCCCCAGCACCTGTCAGGCCTCCATATAAGAAGCCGGTGGAGAAGAAGGGCTGTAAGTGTGGCAGAGCCACCCAGAATCCCTCTGTGTTGACCTGCAGGGGGCAACGCTGTCCCTGCTACTCAAACCGCAAGGTGGGACTATGAGCATTGCATGTATGGGATTTTAGGGGTCAAGTTTTCATTGGTTTTATTGAGCACAAGCACATTTTTTTTTTTTGTATTTAATCAGCCCTTTGGAAGTGTAAAGGCATTGTTGTAACTAATTTTGCCAACTGTGATTTATGTGATCAGGAAAACAGGCTTAATATCACTTATCGTTTTTAAAGATGAAAGCAGCAAAAATAGCCGGTTTATCGTTAAACTAATGCACTACTATGCTTTTCGTATTCCACCCTGACTACATTCTTTTAGTGACTTGGGGTTAGATCTGAAAATAATATTGCAACTTTAATGTGACGTTGGTGTGATGCAAATACACTAATGCTCCTTGTCTATTTTTTGGCATCTTTCTCAGGCATGCTTGGATTGTATCTGTCGAGGTTGCCAGAACTCCTACATGGCCAACGGTGAGAAGAAGCTAGAGGCCTTCGCCGTGCCAGAGAAAGCCTTGGAGCAGACGCGGCTCACACTCGGCATCAACCTCACCAGCATCACGGCGGCCGCGGCGCTTCGCAACCCAGCACCCACCAGCATCCGCGCAAACACCCTCCTCAATGTTGCCACAGCAACGGGGACCCCGGTGACCACGGCCTTCCTGTCCCCCAGCCCCCCGCAAGAGCCCAACTATGAGGACAGCCTGGAACTGCTGATTGGATGAGAGGCTGGGACTCCAAAAAACAAAAAAACAAAAAACAGACAGCTCGGTGCTGATTGAATGTGATGGCTGATCATTGTGTCTGTCAGACAACCTGTACCTCCCCCCCTCCAGAGGGGAGGCAATCTGAGGCAGCTATGGGTCTGTCCTGTCCTGTAACCTGCTCTACTTTCTGTGTTGGAAAATGCTGAGTAGTAAGACTAGCATGGGTGTGCCAAAGCCTCCTGTATTGTGCCTGTGTGCCGGTGTGTATTGTTGCCTGCCTGTAGTTAAACACTTATACTCGGTTCCAAGGCCATTCTGTACTTCAGAGGTGCTTCTTGTTCATAGACCACAGACATACTGTAAGAGGCAATAGGAACCCATACCAGGTTTTTGTGTTTGTTAATGTGTGCACACACAATTATAGATTTCAGCGTGTGCGTATGTGTGATTTCTGGTGCATAATGATAACAAAAAACTGCATCATTATATCTCAATCACCTGTCACAGCATTTTCCATGTTTGAGTATTACTCCATGTATGTTTCAGAAATGCATAATTGGTATTAGGACGGCCCTTACTAATCCTTAACCCTGTTTGTGTTCACACCTTAATTGTGAATGAATCTTGTGACTAATCTATGGAGAAGTTCTGTCTCACACAAGACTGTATGCCTTTTTCTATCTCGTTAACTCACTCAATCCAAGTACTGTTGACTGATAATGAATTTGTCTTAATGAACTTGACTGATGCAGGCATTGTACAGGCAGCAAGATAATGTCAAAGCACTTGGCTGGCTCCACGGTTTCTCTCTGTGTGTGCGTGCGTGTGTGTGTGAGTGTGTATGCGCCTGCTGAGATTTACTGTAATGTCAGCGGGGAGGCGGATGGTGGGTTGTAAGCACTTAGACGGATTGATTGGCCAAATTACAACTAAAAACCATTCTTGGTTACCATAGCAATAGGAGCACCAACGAGGAGCCTCCCAGCTCTCGTGCACACACGCAGTTGTTTACAGTATTTCCATTTATATAGACTATAACTGTCTTCTAAAATATTACACCAATATGTTTTGATCGTGGGATTGTACATGACTGTGTGTGTGTTTAGATAAACTGAAGCCATAGGTTGTCATTAACAAGACAAAAATCCCCCCCCCCAACCGTTGTAGTGTCCCGACTGATTAGAGACCAACACAGAGACTATTTTTGATATCAAGTGTTTCAGATTTGGTACCACTGTCTTTTTTTGTGTGTGTGTGTGTGTGTTTTGGTTAAAGCACCTTGAAGCCCTCCTATAACTCAAGAGGCTGTGTGTTGTCTGTGTTTGTGTTTACTGTCTCAGCTGTAACTACAGATGTTTGTCAGTCCAGTCATGTGACCAAAAAGAGACTGAAGGAGAGAGAGAGCGAGCGAGAGAGAGAGAGAGAGGACTCAGGCAGACCAAACAAACACCTTGGTTCTCCACTCATAGACCAGGAAGTAGCAGGTGGATTACAGTATGATCAGCAAAATATGATCTATCTTCCTGCGTGTGTGTGTATGTTTCAAAATGTATTTCTGTTGGGCATTACTTGAACCCTGATTAGTTTTTGGTATTGTTTTTTTTATGTAAAAACTCTTGTTTGAGGAGTGACTCTTATTATTGCTGAAACATTCACTGCCATAATATGGAAACATGTAATACAACATGAATTAAAAGATAGTTTTTTACTTTTTCAGTTTTGTGTCTTTTTGTGTAGAGGGGATATTTGACTCAAGTGTGCTTTAAAGCTTGGTTGCAGGTGGGTGCAGACACTGGCTCAACACATTGACCATAATTGTGAACACAGCAGTTGGATGGAGATTTGTGGTGGAAGCTAATGGGCTTTTTTTCCTATCTTGCACAAGCTAGGGTTAAGAAAATAGAGAGTTTGCCCTCATAATGATTCTGTTATAATGTTAATCCATTCATTCCCCATTCCATGATGAGTAAACATGAGAAAAACCTAAAGATAATGAACCAGTACAGGCTGGTTATTTTGTCTCCCCTTCATTGCAATGCATTATAAAATTAGTTACAAATATTCAGACCTGGGAAAAGTATTATAAACAAGAATAATAAAATTCAACATTACCGGAAACTTGAATAAAACAAGATTACGAGTTTAGCTAGCAGGCCAAAAACAAACAAAAAAACAGCTGATGGGGATGTCATCTGCAAGTATTTGGTCATAAACCAAAGCATTGGACACAGTTAAACTTTGACCTGATGGTGGCACTAGACACAAATTTAAGGGATCACCGAAGAGAAAATGCCATTCATCCTGAGAGGAATGTGAAAGCCTGTACCAAATTTAACGGCAGTCCTTATAGTGGTTACTGAAAACCTAAAATGGGAACCTCATGTTAAGGCTGGAGGTAAAGTCGGGATCACTAAAGTCATTAGGATTCCTCATCTGTGAACCATTAATGTCTGTACACATATTCATGGCAATTCATTAACCAGTTGCTGAGATATTGCCATCCTCTAGCTGGCATGACTTGTCTTGATATAAAACCTAGGAAACGTAAGGAAGTTCAATCTTTAAATAAAACACTTGAATATAAATTTATTCAGCACAAAATGAAATCTGGTTTGGTATCCAATGGATATAGAAGTGTACATGTGTCAAAAACACTTAATACTCAGTCCATTCATACTAGATCAGTGCTTCTTTAAGGCTGTAGGACCGTGATGTGTGTCACGCCACACATTCATTCAAGACATTGCACAAAGAGGAAATTCAACCTTAAGTACTGTAAACAAACAAAACAAGCTTCATTCATAATACTGAACATCTCAAATCTTGTCTAGTGGCATTTTTTAATACTTATTTCTAATAAAAGACCAGTTAAGTGTCATGTGTCCAACAGCACTGTCATTTCCTGGGGATGACAACACGACTGACGACCGTTTGACCTGTGGGCAAAAACAGCTCGCTCTGTTCACAATAGAAGTCATTCACACATGAGAGCGCCACATTTTTATCTGCATCTATTGTACTGCTCCAAATGTCCTGTACTCTGAATGCACCATGTAATCCATGTTTGCTCTGTCATACAGTACACTCTGTTTACCAGCCCCAACCACAGAGCTAATAACCGGTGTGAGGTTTAACTGTGACTACTGGAGTAAATACGCAGCAAACGGCTCTTCTTCCGTGCCATTTTGAGCCACAGCGAGTCTGCCACTGCAGCTCAGTATGATCATATCCCTACAGCTCTGTGGTTCCAAAAGAAGTCCTTTGCACTGCCAACAGTTCATTAGTCTTCTCCGATCCTGCACTCTCACACAGCTGCTCACATTCCCAAGCAAAAACCCTGACATTTTGGTCAACTACTGTTGATGTCTGCATCAAGTCCCATCAGTCCCGGACACTTCTATCCGAGGTTCCCTCTCTTTAACCAACGAGGAAGGCCCCGAAGTAGCTTGCCCTCCCATCCATCTCCATGGTGCTGGCGTTGCTAACGGTGATGAAGAGGCGGTCGGCGGGCTGTAGAAAGGCAGTACCGGCCTGATGCAGGGAGAAGAGACCAGGCTCCTGACCCCGAGGCCAGCAGGCACTCCGGAATGATTTCATCAGCAGGATGGGCATCGTGTAGGAACTCATCTGTGGACCATATCACAAAAACAAGTTCAAAACCTTCAAAAGCAAAGCATCACAATATATTTGCATATAATATTTAATCATAAGCATTTCATCTTAACGATACCACATGGAATCAATAGCTTAATTTCTTACTTTTGGTGCATTCAAGGACACTGACATTTGAAGTTTGAGAGTTGGCTTGCATTCATGAGTTATCAAATAATCATTACCCACCACAAACAGACACTTTGTCCAGCCTGATATTGTGTTCACATGTAGCCATTTTCTATTTGGGATTTGGCCCTAACCAACTAGTAGCGAGTGACATATCCTTTCTGCTGCGTCATGGATAAAGTTAATGCTCCCATTTTTATTCCCACCCACAACACTCTGATTGGTCAATTGTTTCTCCAAATGACATAAATATTCCTCAAAGAAAAAAAAGCATACTTACAGCAGCAAAAACATGAAAACAACTTACATATATATATATATTATTTTCTACAAAATGGAAAAGAACATTGAATTCTTGTATACAACTGAAATAATATATTATTAAATTTAGTATATAGTGAATACTATTTGTATATAGTATGGAATTGGGATACAGCTGTGGACATTGAAGAGATTGCTATTTGGCAGCCTACTGTAGATGCTGAAGGGTCCTTGTTCACTACTGTATTATCACGCTACAATAACATGACTTAAGCTGAACCAAATTATTATAAAATGTTCACTGTGATGGATTATTAATTTGTTCCAATGCCAGGTATTATCCTTCAATAATGTGCACAAAGCCTAACCTTCTTGTAGATATACTGGACAAGCTGGGCTCCTTCCTCCTCCTTTGTTTCCCCTGTCTCCCCCTTTGCCTCCCAATCCATCTCGCCCATGGAGGGCAGTCTGAAGTAGGTCTGGGCATAGATGTAATAGAGGCCAGCTCGAGGCACCAGCAGCTCTCCTCCCCTCAGCTCCATGTTCTGCAGGAAGGACAGACCTCTCTGTCCCTCCCACGCTCTGATTCGCTCGCCCAGGTACCCCCTGCTGTTCTGTGAGCCTGCAACAGCACATAAAAACATACAGAGTTAAACACACACATAAACATGTCAATTAAGGCCATTTGCTCATTTTAAGAGTGTTGATTGAGTATAAACAGCCACTGCGATTCAAATAAGAAACAAATGTTAAAGAAACTCTGTCAATAAAGCTTACAGATGTGCTCACAGACCAGCTGCTTTTTTTTTTATTGACAGCAGTTTCATGTTTCACACGTCCAGCTATCCTGGGGTATGTACGTATGTATGACATTCAGAAATATATTCCTCATGAACAAACAAAAAAGGACAAGGCTGGCTATATTTAATATTTTCCTATTGTCAACAAATCCCATAAAAAAATAAAATTAAATAGGTAGTGGCACTTTTTTGCTTGTCTGTGGCTCTGAACTTTCAAGCACAATTATAGATGTAAAAGTTTAAAAGGCTGAATAATTTCCTAAAACAGCTGGGTACTATATTTTCAGCAAATTTTGCTCTAAAAGGAGTATATAGTGCATCTGTTGTGGACTATTTTCTGTTGCGGATTAATACATATTCTGTGTTCTAGTGTTAAAGATGGCATATGTGGGATTGAGTCAAAATAAACCACAGTGCCCAGGGTTATTATAATAAAACAGGAACATAAAACACAGTGCGGCCCACTGGTGTGCTTATAATAGTTTTTGGACAACAATGGAGCTCTATGGCAAAGAGGAATAAGATATGTCAGGCTTTGGCTACATGGACAATACTTGTTAGTAGGATCAGTTCATTACTGGCTTTGGTAATTTCATGGGTTTTATTTTTTTAACAAGAAAAAACATGACCAGACTTGTCCTTTAAAGCCAATAGTGTACAATTAGAAAAACCTTTGACTTTGGCCTCCTCCAGTGGTTATATCAAAAAAGACACTGTGGCAGACAGCAATGCACGCTGCCCCAACCCACCCCCTCTCTTTCCCACAGACCTCCCAGAGGATACTGAGACGAACGGTCTGAGGGCAAAACACAGACTGAACTAACTATATCATTATCAATTTTAATGGCGATTTTAACATGTTTACAGAAATAAAAACTTCAATAATCAAAAAGTAAAAAATGTAATGGCTTTGAATGGAGCGAGACTAAATGTATTTGTAACTTGTTTGACTAAATGAAACTAAAAATTAAACTCAACTGCTCTAATTGTCTGGTAAGAACTGCTGAGTACCTTAGCATCATTCAAATTATAATGGTTTAACAAGCTTATAATTTTACTGCAATTAAAGTAACTTGATTTAATGACATGAGGTGGGATGCTTTTTCCTTCTTATTATAGAAGTGCCTTTCTTAGAATTTTGGGATAAAATAAACATCTTCTCAGTAAAAAGAATCTGAAGACTAGGGGTGTCTTCATGGTCAAGAGGTCTATCACACACTTCCTTATGTTATTCCAACCAGAAATCCTTGTTGCATGTTATCACCCTGTCGGTCTAATGTCAAATAAAGCTGAAAATGCCATAAAACGAATCATAAAAATCTATAAACTGTATTAGGTAAGGACTATCATACGCCTGGAATTTCAGAAGACACCGTATAAGTTTGGCAAAGCAGCTGCACATCTGCAGGTCCTGACAAACATGAAGATGTTACTGAATCTGAGAACAGCCTGGGAAGCCTTGAAGCACATTCCTCACCTCTGGCCTGGGAAAGTTATGGGCGAAGCAACACAGTACTCACAGGTGTGTGAGCATTGATTAAGTACTGTGTTCAAGATGTCAGGTATGCTTTCCAGGACTTCATTCCAAACGTAACCAACTCTGTGTGCACACTGGATATTTTACTACATTAACAGGATCCTCACCCTCTGCTGTCGGAGGTTCTGTGGACGAGCTGACACCGGTCACATGCGCAGCAACTTTGGGAAGAGGTATTCCTCGGACGCCGGGTCGCAGCACTCCTGTCAGCTTATCTGGGAAAACACACAGGACGTGTTTAGCGGAAAAAGATATGCTTACTACTATTAGTAATAACTGATAGTCTATGGAGGCATTGTTCACCTCTCATAGCAGTAGTTATCTCCTTCTGGAATCTGTCAGCCATGGTCTGAAAGAAAAACACCCAGAGAGACAGAAAGAAAAAGAGGGAGTGAATAGGCGGCAAGTTAAAGTAGCTTGTCCTCTTCAGTTATAATGCACTTATGGTATCTTTATCTTTATCTAAATTAATAACATTCAGTAATACATGTGGGACCGTGTCACCCCCATGAAACATTCAGTCCTCCCTCTGGATCAACAAATATGTCATCTGTTGACTTGTAATAGCAGTATTCCCCTTTGAGTCAGTTATTTAGAAGTTCTGTGGAGGATCATTTTCCCAGCACCAATCAGAGGGGCCCGAGTAACTACATGTAATGTACAAACAAATTATTACCATTACTAATTCTAATTTATGGAATTTCTGCAACATTGTTGATAGAACATGATAGAAGTGCGGACCACCAGTGTGTTGAATAAAATAAAAATAACAAATTATTCCTGCAATAAGGGAACCTAAATTGAAGTTAGATTAAAAAATAAATCAAAAACCTTTTCTATGTGGTAGTGGAGCTGTTGCGTGACTTGCCAGCAGGGGTCGCTCCTCTTGTCCTTGGAAACTTCGGACTCAGAGAGCTGATTTGCGTTAATTAGACAGGAAACGCTACTACGAGAGAAACTCTCCTGCATCTGTCAACAGAGAAGAAATAAAATGAACAATGCACAAGGGCTGCAACCAACGATTATTTTCATTATTGATTCATCTAGAGAATAATTAAGAGATTACTTTTTTTTCTATAAAATATAAATTATTTATTCTTAGAGCCTAAGGTAAATCTCTTGTTTTGTCCAACCAATAGTCAAAAATCCAAGGATATTTAGTTTACTACTGTCCTCATACTTAAGACACTAAAACAGCATATATTGGGCCTTTTTGGCTTGAAAAATTACCAATTACTTGATCTTCAAAATAGTTATTGTTTTCTGTCTATCAATGATTAATTCAGTGGCGTAATCAGGCTGTCTGATGGGCAGGGGTGGAAAAAATAAAAAAGGGCACCAGCTGCATGGGGTTTGGGGCACCAGTGCACAGAAAGTTGCATTGATGCATTTACTGCGTCACATTTCTCCACTGGAAAAATCCCCTAGAAGAGTATTTCTCAATCTTTGTGTATACATACTGGTACAGGTGGATGCCAATAAGCACATTAACATGGATTCAACTCTGAAGTGGACACAAGTGTGTGTGTGAGGTGAGGTGGGCTGTTTTACTCTGACTCAGCCAATCAGAGCCCAGCACCAAATCCATCAGCTTTTTCAAAAAGCTTTTTTTTCTGCTTGTCACAATATCGCTCAAATGCCTGAAACGTGTTGCTTTAGGGTGTCACAACCCTCCTGACTCCTAACTAGTCTCATTTCCTGCCATTGTGTTCTGTTATCTACTCTGCCAACTTTCTCCTCTCTCATTGTGCAGCGTTAGAAAGGCAGAAATTCTTGCATAACCGGGACTTTTTACTTCATGTCACCATATGAACTTGCATATTAATTCTGCAGTAGCCAATCCCTGAAAGAGGAACAGAAAGTGTGTCTATAGATTATTCAAGTGGATAATGGCAACTTCATGCCATAATTTACCTTTTGAGATTATATAAGGCCTCTCCTTACTGTTCAGGTAAGGGCCTAATGTCTGGGGTGCTAAATAAATGTTATTTCTAATGTTTTATTCCCTAACTTGCATGGAGACATAAAACTGTGCCACTGGTATGGTTTCCCTGTGAAATGAATGGCTATGAAGTAAAGCTATGATTTGTCATCAGTAAAGTGTGTGTCAAACCTCCACCCCCCAGTTATCTGGCAGTCGGGTTTTGTTCTGCTGTCATTCTGTGTTAGATGAAGGGGAAGACAAACACACACAATCTTACCGTGCTCAGGACTTTGTTGAAGTACATAAAACTGACGGCAACCGCGATGGTCTGCAGGAGGATTGCTGCGAGTAGGATGAGCCCCAGACACTGGAGAGAAACAGAAATGGCCATATCACAGCGTGAGTGTGGCAACCGCAAAATAAGTTCCGAGGAGCAAGGAAAACACTTCCACAAGCAGGGAGGACAAGTCAGATCAAGCTCTGCTGGTTCATCGGCTCTGCAGGGAGAGAGAGAGAGAGAAGGGGGGAAAGAGAGAGGGAGGAAAGCAGAGCTGCAGTTTGTAGGTAGGTGGAGCAGAAGAGAGAGAGAGAGAGAGAGAGAGAGAGAGAGAGAGAGAGAGGAGGTATGGGGGATTACAACAGCCTGTCACTGTTATTAGATAGAAATGAGCTGGGAGCTAGATGCTGCAACTTCATGGCGCCTTCAAGCGCTGTCGGAAAGGTGGGAACTCAGTTGAACTGGGTTGAGAGCGCATGTGCAACCCAAACAAGAGGCTAATACTACAACTTAGACCACGTGGGTTGCCTCAGTGTGACACTAGCTATTAAGCTCATTATTTCTGATCATTTAAACCTTTTAATTAGCCTAATTACTGTTTAAATATTAAATATTCCATTTTCTGGGTATACATGTCATCTATACTTTTCTTGGTGAAACAAGTTTACTTCTAGGTCTATTTAGTAACTGTTCTGGAGCTTTCAGTGATTACAGACATTGTCTTCATCAGCCAATGGGGTTTTCTCAGTCACATTTCTTTAGCACTTTAAGGGCATTTAGTCCATGTTTGCTTAAAAAGGTTTAAAGTTCATTCTGTTTATTAATATTTGATATCAATATTCCATATTATCGAAATAAGATTTTAGAGAGAAACCCAAACATGTTTTACTTTACAGGAACTTAACACAGATATAAAAAGTAGATCTGTTTTCTGTCATGTGGGGAATGGAGCTTTAATCTTTTCTTTTAAACATTTTAATGTGTAAAATCCTGTAGTTATGTGAAGCAGATGCTAATAGAGGCCAGCAGTCTTTCAGTGTTTTATACTGTTTACTCCTCTCTGTGGTTCAAAGTATATTCGTTCCACTTTAATCCCAATGTCCCAACATTTGCCACAATTTGTAACTGGGTTTGTTTACTTCCTGCCAGAAGAATTGCAATGTATTACAGATTTCCAGTCCAAATGTGGAGTTGCTGAAGGCAGCATAAGATAACTGCGTTGGTTGAATTTAGTGAAATTATGAATGCCCTGGAAACAATTAGTTGTAAAAGGTGATTTATTTTATTAATGTATTTGCCTTTTGTTAAGAATTTAATCCTATTATCACTCTTTATCCAACTTTTAATTTTTCACAATTGTGCCTCTATAATACTAATAATATACTCGTTACTGTGTTTTTCTTGGTGTTTAACAGCTAAACAGCTAATTAATGTCCAATAAATACTTTATTTGCCTGTTTTCTCCTCTTGCATTGCAGATCGAAGTACCTCCGAATGGCTTGATTTAATAGCGATGAAGCAATGTTGTAATGTCATGCGGTCAAATGATCAAAAAAACACTTAAAATGTGGGATGAGTTGTATGTATGACATTCAAAATCAGACGTGAAAGTACATAAAGGCAGCATCACTGCATGAAAGTTGCATGTGAGACAATCAGCATCTAAGAGTAAGATGAAAAAAGGCCCCTTTTCTTCTCTTTCCTGCTATTGTGAAGTGATCTGAGAGAATGCTGGCCGATTAGTGCCAAATGACCCGCCATTGTTAGTGCTTCAGTGTAGTCAAGTAGTATTTGTCACAAGGGAGTCATTCAATCTGCAGAACTTAACCTTGAATGATTCCCAGTGGTTCCTCTACTTTCATTCCTTCAACTCTAACCCCTGCTCCATTGTCAGTGGGAGGAAGTGAGAGTGGAGCTGAAGGAGTTCACAGCTCTTGGATGTGCGTGACCCTCCCATGTGTAATATGTTCACGCTGGTGCATACACTGATATAGGGTTCACACAGGTTGGTAGGTAGCCTACCAGATTAAACTGAAAACACTGGACAAAAAGTATGTATGTGGAAAATCCCAAAGGTATCCAAATGTATCACGACCTTTGATACTACTGTGTTTTTGTGCATTTATTCCAGGGAAATGTTGGAGGCGTAGACGTGAACAACACCTGAGGAAAATAAGTATTTTGTTTGTTTTCTTTACTGATAAAAATCTAAAAATGCAGAAGTTTCCTTTAAGTGAGTCACTTCCCAGGCTTGTCAGAGAGAAGGTAAGTGATATTTGAAGACTGTCTGGCCTCAGGCAGGGAAGATGACACCCTGAGAGACATGCCTGTCTACAGTCCCATTGCAGACAGAGAGGGAGAGGGGGGGGGGGAGATGGTGTATGTCTGGAATTCTGCAGAAAATTACAATACTTTAATGTTCATGTTTGATCAACATCTTTCCTACTAAATTATTGTAATTTCTTTCTCTCAGGTCCAATCAGCTGGTGACCTCTGACCTCTGTCCACATGCAACAGGCCCTAACTGGCTTTAATCCTCCAGGTATTTTAAAGAGGAAAAGAATAGTCTGACATTTTGAGAAACTGTCCTTTCTTGCCGAGAGTTAAATGAGAAGATCGACACCTCTAACGCTGACTTTACACTTGTTACATCTTGTTTGTCTAATCCTTACAACAACCAAAGTGTAAAAGTTTTGGTTTTATAGGGGGTTATTTTTGGCTGTGGTGAGAGTGAACAGTAAACAATGAGGCTAATATTAATGAATTAATGTGAATGAAATTGAATCTGTAATGGTGGACTCAAATAGCTTTTGCTGCCAACATGCGGACCACAAATAGGATCAAAAACAGGGTTTTATTTCAGGAAAATTTTACACGCATTAACTTCAAAACTGCAACATAACTTTGGTTAACACCAAAATCATCAAAAACGTCTGTCTGTCTCTGTGAGGAACAGACAGTATGATGAACTTGTGAGACTCAGTCACTCAGAACAAACTATTTTCTAAACCCTGAATCTGAAATCGGTTACAAGAACAATTTGAAACAGGAAAGCATAAGGAGAGCTAGTGCTTCTTTGAAAATTAAAGCAGTTTCCCCCTGAAGTGAAGAGCTTGAATAATACCCTGGAGACATATAATGGATTTAAAGGACGGATCACGCTCCATCCACCCTCCTCTGTCCTCCACTCCCTTTTTCCCTCCCCTGAGGCTTCTCCTCCCAACGTTTGTCTCAGTAAAGTCATGGAATCTCCCTAAATTCCCGTCTGAGCACTACAGCTGCTCATTGTCTCATTTATAAAACAAAGACTAGTGCTGAAAAATGCTACGGCAGCACAATGCGCACAGACAGTTGCCAGTGACTTAGAGTTAGTTTGTCAGTGGAAGGGTGTTTCCCTGATAGGAAACTACTGTATGTGAATGTGGGAGCATAGAAACAGAGACAATACACACAGGTTAATATTTAACTCACAATCATTTGTTTCTATCAACCGGGTGGTTTGGCCAAAACAACACTGAACAAAACTAGCTAAAAGTAGCATTTGATTTTAAATAGAGACTTAGGGTTACACTAAGATCAGAATATTTTTATTGAAATATTTAGGCATGCAGTTATGAGGATTACTCCAAATATAGGTTATAGGAGGGTTGCATGGAGCCTACTTGCAATACTTAAAGTATCAAAATCAAAAGTAATTTTCATCCAGATAAATGTTTTATTAATTATTACGTATTTGTTTTATTATTATTGTTACCAATTCCTTTTAATGTGTTAGATTAAGACCATGGATGGTTCATGTGGTTCTCAGTCCACTAGAGGGGGGTGTTGCATTGATTATTGGTACTTCTAGACTTGACCCAGAATAGTGGCGCAGATATGAGAGACTTAAGGGTTCTATATATTCTCTATAGGGATAACAACATAGAGTACGGATGCAACATGAAATATCTATTTAGTAGTTATGTCATCCATACCACTCTGATATTCATATTCTGGTATATTAAAATATAGGGGTGTGTGTTACGTACTACCTGAACAAATGTTTCTCCTGTGTGTAGGCTTCATATTTACGATTAGCAGAAGACTACTATTTTTAAATGGCTGGAGAGCATATCCCCGGAGATGCTGACAAAAATTGCAAGTATTTAATGTATTTATACATAAGTCTCCAAATTTGGAGCAGCTAAAGGTCGCATATAATAACTATGTTTACTGGATGATGCATTATGGGAAACATGAATGAGGCAGGTTGAGCAAAAGCAGGTTCGCCGAAAACTGAAACACAAAAAATACACCTAATTACAAAATAATGGCGCATATTGAACATCACAGGCTGGAGATGCATATCAGGGGATCTGGAAGTGGATTTTTAAGCACCAAAAAGAACAGAACAATTTGTTCTTCATGTTTTTTGTTTTTTTATTGACACCCTTCATCAGTTCCCTCATAAATCACAACAGTGGGCAGAGCAGAGACACAGTGGAAAATTGCATCCCACGTGGAATGCTTAAAAGATGGGAAAGTTCAATTAAGAGGTAAAATTACAATATTTGAAGCCCTTGCAGATTCTCAGTTTGCTGCAGCTACTGACAAGTGAATGCAAATTGCGACGTCAGTGACTCATTCATGTCGCAAAAGTATCCCTAGCCAGGCATTTAAATCACAAAACATTTAATTCACAGTTAACTATGGTTCAGATACACAGAATGTCCTGAAAGTACATGTAAAAGTTCAATACTGTCCACAAGAAAAGTACTCAGTTCCCCGTTAGAAAAAGAGGACCTTGAGAAAGCGTTATGCCTTGATTTTTTTTGTGCAGCGTATTTATTTAAAAGATACAATATCATTTACAAATGTCGTCTGTCCCATGTTTGACGTCACTACAAGAGACCACAGCCAGGTGCTTTGAGGTGCATGCTCACAATGACAGTACTGAAATGCTAATGCGAAGCAGATAATGTTTAGCATGTTCACCCTCTTAGTTTAGTGTGTTAGCATGCTAACATTAGTTAATTAGAGCTAAACCCAAAGTATGGCTGAGGCTGATGGGAATTTCATTAGTTTTGCAGGTATTTGGTCATGAAATTAATTCATAGTTTGATCTGATTATGGCACTGGATGAAAAGTTAAGGGAAAAGTTACTTAAAAAAAACATTAGGGCCACGAATATGTGTGTGGCAAATTTCATGACTATTCATCCGGCTGTTGATGAGATAGGGGAAAAATCAGGGGATCACAAAAAGTCATCAGGGTTCATTCTCTGGTTGTCATGACCGTCTGTACCAAATTTCATGGCAACCAATTCAATAGTTATCAACATATTGCAGTGATGGAACAACAAACATTGACATATGACAAAATGTAACTTGCTTAGCCACATAATCAAACAAAGATCAACCAAAAACACTGCCACTGCTAACATGAACCTGTGATCAGGAGTTTCTAACTTGTAATAGGCCTTAAAAAGTATAAAACCAATTACAATCTTTGTGAAATACACTGCTCATGTGTTTGTGGTGTGGATAAAAAATAAGTGTACTGATGTGGTTCCTCACAGTGGAAGCAGCTGATTAATTTATCCATAAGTGGAAAGCTTGTGGCTGTGTATTTATTGTTAGCTGGTAACAGTGTCAACCAGGGTCATTTGAACATATTTTCCCTTCTCCACTGCAGACCTTAAAGAATCTTCGTATGTACCAAGGTGGTGTGTGTGTATGTACAGGTAGGGCCCTGAGCTTAGATTTTATATGATACAAAGAACAGATGTACAAGCACTTGGAAAGTCTGTGATTCATAAAGCAAGGACTAGTGCATTTGTATTAGTAGAACACACACATGCATGCACCCATATAGACACTTACACTCACACACACACACACACACACACACACACACACACACACACACACACACACACACACTTACAAGTTGTTCTTGAGCCAGTTGAGGTAACCCCTAAGTGCCCTCTTCCCTACATCAAATTCTAATGGCCAGGCTATGAAGCTGAAACATCCGTGGAAGCCATCCTCATAGTGGTCACTGAAGACTGTGACACCTGCGTCCTGTAAGCGGCGCGCGTACATCAGGCCGTCATCCCTCAACACATCGTGCTCGCATGTTAGGATGTACGCCCGAGGGCATTTAGCCAAAACCTCTGGTGTTGTTAACAGCGGTGCTGCCCTTACGTCCAGCAGCCCCGACACCTCCTTTGCTGACCCCTGCGAATCCTTTTCCACAATCAGAGGCTTGTAGCTCTTCTTGTATTTCGGGGGCAGGAGGACTGTCCAGTCTACCCGTGCCCTCAGCTCTGGGGTGATGCTTGAGTGGTGTAAGGAGCTGTGGTTGTTCACCATCCACTGGGACTGCAGGGAGAGGTCAGCACCGAGATACTGCAGCCAGAAGCGAACCATGTGTTTGCGGTAGAGGATGGGTATATGTTGGTTCTGCAAGTAGGAGGGCGTATTGAAGTCCAGAGCCTGGAGCACGGGGTAGATCAACGCCTGAACGCTGAATTTCACACTTATAGTGTCATCTTTTGAAACCTGAGAACATTTTAAAAACATATAAGGCCTTAACGTCTTGATTTATATCAACAGTACATTTTACACACATTCCTACAAAAGATGGCTGTTTTATGTACCTCCTGAGCGACCGCGGCAGCCAGGTTTCCTCCAGCACTGTCACCTGACACAGCCACACGCTCTGGGTCGATGGCATACCTGGCTAGAACATCTGGGGACAAGAAGTGCTTGGCAGCAGCGAGGCAGTCTAGATACGGCACAGGGAAGTGCACCTCTGGATATAGACGATACCTACACAGACATTGGTTGCAAATGATGATTTAGTGGTAGTTTAAAAAGCTTTGGAGCACTCTTTCTATAGTTAAAGGGTCACCTACCCAGTGACACATGAAGATCAGTTCATTTGTATAATACCTGAAGGAAGTTCTGTTTTTTTTATCTCTTAAAATGTAGCTCTGTATCAACAGTTGGTTTCTGTCTCTCTGAGCAGAACAAACTTGAAACAGTAGATTAGTCTTGCAGGAGGAGAGACACTTACTCAACAGAGACCACAACGGTGTTGAGCTCGTCGGACAACATCCGGTTGATTGTATCATACGATCCCTTCTCTGAGGAAGTGAGCAAGAGAAACAGGAAAAGTTAAATGAAGAAAAAAATAATGTTACTACTAAGTTGTTACACCTGTTCCTCCACACCCCCCTTAAATGCAGAAAATGTGACATATCACATTTAATAATACAAATAAAAATATTATCAAATCAATCTGCTAATTAAAGAAAAGCAAATATTCTTAATTAATATTTTTCTTATATTGATCTGTAGTTTTACTTAAAGAGCATTAATGTCCATACTCACTGCCACTGCCGAGGGCCCAGCCTCCTCCGTGGAAATACATCAACCCTCTCCTCAGATGGCCTTCGCCTCCAGCAGGGGGCTCGTAAACACGGACCGGGATGCCGGCGAAAGTGATGTCGCTGACTTTCACTCCGGGCATGACCCCTCCGCTTGACTCAGAAGTGAGCGCCATGTCATCGAAGCCCTCCATCGACTGCCTGAGGGACCTGATATAATGATCAAAACCCAGCCAAGACTTCAAAGAGGCCTGAGGACAGATAGGAGGGGAGGAGTGAATAAAACTCTTTAAGTTTCTTAGGACACATTTAGGCATAGAGTGAAACGAGCTGGTAGCAAAAAGGAATCTGGGAAAATATTAAATGCTTGTATATGTTGGCAGAGACTTGAGACACAACTATCTCACCTCTGTCCTCCTGCACTGTATCTTACTGATGTGTTTCTAAGTCTGCCCTTCTCCCCACAAACATCTCAGACTGTCTCAATAGCTCAGCCAAGGCCAGCAGACACAGTTGCTTGGCACAGCGAGGGCGCAGAACCAGACAGCCACACAGAGACATGTTGGCCTTGTTATAATAACATTAGGTTTTTTTTTTTATCATTTCATTAAGATGAAAAGTCTACGAATGCGGCAAAATATGTTCTTTTAGTTAAGAATGCACGGATCCAACTTTTTCTCTCCAGATACTAATTCCGATACCTAAACTCATACATCGATACTGAGTATTGATCCATTACCAGAACTCTCTTCACACCAAATTTAAAGTCTGTATACCTCACTGAGAGTAAACCCTTGGAATAATTTTTTTATGTAAGGTAAGGATTGCTGAAAATCTGAGTTGGCAGCCTTCCATTACTAAATGAATGTAACTGATGGAGGAAATTTATAATGATAGTGACACACAAACTGTAGTTAATGTGAATCAGACGCATGCTAACCTGATCTGGTTAAAGGGGAGCTCCAGCGGTTTTGCACACACATCTTTATTACAAGTCTTTTTACAGTCTTTCGGAGGATTACTGTTTATGTGAAGAAAAATGTAAAACAGCCTTTTGTGGCTCCAGAGGAGAGCTGTGCAAATTCTGATTAACTGCCTCAAGTGATGTCAACATCAGAGACTACAAGTTTTGCTCCTCATTTCTACTTGAGGTTGGGGGCTCGGTGCTACAGTAGACATTACTAGTATAACAATATCTAATATAAGTGCCAGCAGTGCAGTTGCATCATGGGTAATGTAGGCACCTGTCAATTGTGAGTCTGACAATGTTACTGCAATGTTAAGTCGTTGTGTACTCTTTGGCTGTATTTTAGTGAACAGTTTTAGCTAATTGTACCTGAAATAAAAAACTTCAATAAGAAATATTTAATTCAAAGTTTAATCAACCTTTCAAATTATTTTTTCTTTTATGTCATAATGGTGTGTTTTAGGCAGTTTATCTGTATAAATATTCCTGAGTTGCATTTCTCAACTTTGGTGGACAATAAAGTTGTTGTATTATTTAATCAAAAACATACACTAGTGAGTTTTAAAATGACTTTGTTATATTTGCAATATGTGAATACATTCTTGCATCTTTCAGCTGCAGGAAAGAGAAGAAGAGCAATTTGTCTCAGTGCAGTTTAAAACCATTTTAGCATCTTTTTCCATAGTAGATCAAAATCAAAACTATATGCTGTGCAAATGTTATAAAATACCACATTTAAGGCAAAATATTTGAATAACTAGAACTTAAATCTCATCACAGTGGGTTTTTTCCACTTCTTTTTTTTTTGGAGAAAGAAGGATAGAATAAAATATGAAATGACTTGTGCAAACAGTATAAACTGCTTTGAAGCAAACTACACTTTACAAGTAGAACATAAATCTTCAAGCTCCCTCAGCTAGTTTGGCAATAACAGATATTATTACTCTTCACCTACAGTGCCATTTTCAAATGTAGAACAAAGGTGAGGGTGAAGAGTGAGACTGTCCTTGCGCAGGCCCAGAATAAACTCCCCGATGGCTACTTTGCAACTGATTAACACCATGACAGAGAGTGTGACGGTTTCAAAATCAAACTGTAAATGCACTGAAAAAGCTCTTTCACAAAGTTTGCACATCTCACCCTGCTGTCACTAAAGCGCCTGACACAATCTGGTAAAGAGAAGCATTGTAGACTACACATAACTTAAATGCATAAGCAGCACATGATGTTGTGGAATTTCAGGACAGATGTGCCTCCGATTTTTGATTTTATAACTCAGAAAATGCACAACTTCAAATAAATACATCATAAAATACTGATGCAGTAACTATCCTATTGAACCTCATCAATAAAGACACCAAAGTTGGGCATTACAGGGTTAATATCATTTCAACACATGGCTTAGGGTCAAAGTCTTAACCTTTACTGGTCTAACCAGTGTATGTGTGTTACTGTGTTGTAGGTGAAGAGGTGTGTCTTTCTTTTCAATGCCACTATTACATTAGCTGCATTGCATGCAACTTAACATTTCACATTGGACCAACAACTGCTATAAATAACACTTTTTAGCCAACAATTTGCACAAAGAAAAACAACAGATTTTCTACATATTAAATCATAATAACAGCTGAAGCTGCGCACCTGCTGCACCCATCTGTTTCCGATGCAGTCCTCATACTATCCACAGCATTTATTCCCCAAATGCAAAAATCTCCCCACTCACCAGGTGCATCGTTGCCCGGAATCCAGCATCCAGCAGCATCAACCTCCAGGGCTCCTGGATGGCATCAGGCAGCGGGATGTAAACATAATAAGCGAGCGCCACCGTTAGTAACACAGTAACAAGCAGCAGCCTCATTCTGGATCTGACTGCGCTGAGGTCTTCACTGAGACGTGGACAGACTGACAGAGGACAGAAGGCCCAGACTCACTGCTCTGGCCGGATTTCTGATTTGTCACTAGTGGGACTGGGAGGCTCCAGAGTTAGCGTTAGAATGTACTTTGTGGGCACAGACAACTTCCGATGAAAATCTTCAAAATAAAACCTTTTATTGACATCGTTTTGTCTGGAGACTAAACAAATTTATGGATAAATTCGTTCAATGGCTGCCATCAACATTTGGACTAAATCGATTCAGATTTGATCTGTTTAATGATTATATGTCGTTGGGACCGAATCGCTAAAGTCATGTCTCTTTGTGTTTAATATATATTGTCTTTAATTTTGGAATAAGTAATGAGCTATGAAATAGCTGTGTCTACATTCACCCATCCATAAAACACTCCCTCGTGAACATTATGCTGATTATGAAATTTATTTTTAATTGTATTATTATTATTATTATTATTATTATTATTATTATTTACTGATTTTAATCTAATAATGATAATATAAAACATTCTACAGTATTTGATATGGTTGTCGTCTTCTTCCGCCCAAAACTTAATAAGACGTTTATTCTTTAGAAACTTTTCATTTACGCTTTTATTCTGAAAGCAACAAAGTATGGACATCTGGGAAATGAAGTTTTTCTGTGACAGTTGCTGGAGGGTACCACACTGTATTACATATACATGACCACGGAGAGGCACAATAGAGCTGCAGACTGCAGCCAGGACGCCACACATTATATCCACAGTTTTATCAGACAGTGAATATGTTGGATAGGAGAACTACTTTAATAATTAGAAAGCTTTGTTTACTGATTTGAAAATGTCATTTTTGATAAAACAATGACATGTTCCTATTTTTCGAGGCAGGAGATGCAAAATGAGTTTTTACAGTTGAGGGCGCAATTTAAGTCTAATCAAACCAATTAGATGTAATCAAAGATTTCCCAGCTCCCCATATGAGAGAGTGCAGTCTGCTGTGGAAGTGTAGGAAAGACAGGTAAATGTTCTCTCTCAAGGCATAATAGCATATAATAGATTTGATATTGCAAGAAACTCAAGATGCAGCTATGTCAGTGACCACTAAAGTACTGTCAACTCTTCTTCTTCTGCAACTGCCACTTCTAAGCAATGCAATTGTTACAACGACAATTTCCTGTTAATGCAAGAAACCATTAGGGCGTAACAGTATTTTCCTAATGCTGTAATAATCTTATTAACATGCATCTCCCAATGATAAAAGGAGCATAGTTAATGAATACATAGGTGATAGGTATTACCTGTTGACGGTTGGTTAAATGTTCATTCAGATGTTATGTTTTAGAATATTAAAATATCCTGTTAAAGCTGTAAAGGTCAATTACAACAGTTCTTACAATGATGCAAAACAAACCATTGTACTTTAAGTTGTGAGTCTTTTGAATGCAAACAGGAGGGGGGGGAATTTTCTAAGGAGAAGTCACGTCACTGTACATCTAGTAAAGTCAGACATGTTTTTCTCACGGACTATTGATGCCTTTTTACGTGTAGACATCAATACTGGACTGAAGTCTTACTGGAAGGGATTAGTGGTGCAAGTTGTTGGAAAAAAGATCAGACTGATCATGACCATTCACAGGTTATTGATCCCCCCTACCTCCTTTTTTTTCAGTCTTTCCTGCTGTTTTTAGATAAAAGGTTTTCTTTTTTTGTGTGCAATATTTACACTAGACCAATGTAAGTCCACACACCATGCAGAGCAATGGGGGCACCACTGAAAAACCTTGGAAAATCTGCTGTTTGCATGATTTTGAAATTGATTACAGCAATGGCATGGCAAGACATCAACTGATTTTCTTGTTTTTCAGACTATTTATGGGCACTTTTGCTTTTATTTAGCAGAGCACAGAAGAGAATCAGACAGGAAACATTTAAGCAAGAAAGAGAGTCATGTAACAAAGGTCCCCAGCCAAATTCAAACCGAGGACGTTGCAATTATGTGGTATGCATCTTTGACGAGTTTGGTATGAATCCAGGTCACAGTCACAGAAAGGCACAGAGCAACACAGTACAGCCAATAGTGCCGTAGCCAACAGTGTAGATGGGGCAAAGAGTCTCAGTGTCACTCTCTCTGTGCTATTTATCGCCCTGTGTCTTCCCACGGTTTAACTTTTAAATGGACACTGTCTGTCCCTGGTGGCCCTGTGTGGGAATGTAAACAAACATCAGAGCTGATGAGGATCTGACCCCTGCACTGGGTTGGTTTTCCAAAATACAGCAGCCGGACCACCAGACCATGTCAGATTAGCCACTTGAAAAGACCAGAGTGGGGTTCTTTGGAGAAAACAGGGAGAGGTGGCTGCAGAGGGTCATAGTGAGAAAACTGACAACAATTGTAGTGTATTGTAGTGCTCAGCAAAAAGTATGGAAGAATATCCCCGTACAGTGTTACACAAACTCCAGCTGGACACTGCAATAAACCGTTTGCCATTTTGGGAATTAAGTTTATTCACTTTTCTTCCCAAGAGTTAGATGAGAAGATTAATACCACTTAAATATCTGTCCTTTAAAAATAAGGCTACTTGCAGCTGGTTAGTCTAGTTTAACATAAAGACTAGAAACACAGTGAAACAGCTAGCTTCCCTCTGTGCCATGGGGGAAAAATCAGCCTATCAACACTTCTAAAACTCATTACTAATTAACACTTTGTATCTTGTTTGTTTAATCTATCCCCAAACTGCCATACCAAGTTGTGGTTTTATGGACTATTTCATTGCTGGGACCAGTTGCCAGGTAACCAGTGGAGACTGAGCAATTGAACAAATTAGATTTAACATGTTAAGTAGGAGCTTGAGTAGAGCCTTAGAGGTGCAAGATTTTGTTTTTGCACAAAGCCAGGCTAGCTGTTTCCCCTTGCTTCCTGTCTTTATTCTAAGCTAAACTAATCTTCTCCTCACTCCAGCTTCATGTTGACTGTATGACTGACATGAGTGGTATCAACCTCATATAACCCTCGCATAGTGAACAGCAGAAGGCGGATTGTGCTGCAGAAGTGGTTTGAAAAGTTTCTATGGATGTTTTAATACTTTTATCTTCTGCTATTAAAACTTCTCACCATTACAACCAATGCACTTAAATCTGACTGCAGCTGCTGTTCCTTGTGACGCACAAAACAACAAACTTAAATGCTACATGGGATCAGTGTTTTTACACTCAAAATATCACTTTAAGTCAGACACAGATGCCATACTTGCTCTCTTTCCAAAAAGCCATCTGAATGAGAGCGTCAGCAGAAAGCTTTAATGTGATCTATGTGCTTTCGTGTGTGTGTGTGTGTGTGTGTGTGTGTGTGTGTGTGTGTGTGTGTGTGTGTGTAAAGAGTATGCATTAAAATTCCCTCTTCCTGCCCCCCTTTCCCCTCCCTCCTGTGTGTTGGTCTGGCGTCTCCCTCCAGTCTGTGGTATGGAGGGCAGAGAGGGGGCCTCTCTTGTGTCGCTGACTGGAATTACACTTATGGTCATTTAACATGACTAAACGCATGAGGCAGAAATGGAGGTTTTTACATTTCACACAGTCCTGACTTGTGCTTCGGCCTCATTCTCAACACTGCCTTTATATGTGTTTGAGCATTACATTTTGGGTATGATAAGAGGTTTTTACCAATAAACAGCACCTTGAACTAATTGCTCTGCAGCTAATATTCTGATCTTTAAGGCCCTGGACCTGAACTGTAACAGGATCTAAGTAGAAAGTTAAGAAGATGCAAAAGATGTAACAACCTGCTGCAAGTAGAAATTTGGAAGAGAATACAAACAATGTATTGGATCATTGCAAACATACCTCACATATGGGATAAAGAGTACAACGCATTGTGTGCTTGTGTATTTTGGCACCCTAACACATATACATACAGTGACAATAATGTATTGTGGTATTCAGGCATGTCATGGACAGCAGGCCAGTTGGTATGCTTCAGCTGCAACACAGACTCTATTTCTGAAATGATGAACAACAACCTGTTATTATTCTGCCCTTCTGCAAAGCAAGGTGTCATGCCTGGAAGAACGTGAACAGAAGCAGGATCAGTTTTAGGTGGCATGCTGTTGTTGGTACAAGGTGTTCAAGTACACACTGTTTCTTAAGTGGTTATAGGCTATTTGCTCTGCAAAGCAATGCAGAAAGAGTAAGGCATGCAATTATAATCTTAGCACGGTTTTAATCTCTATTGTTGCAGTGATGCTGCTAATTTGTTTCAAAGCACTTATTAATAGATTGTTTACATTATCTTAATGTGTCTGATGGCTCAGAGTATGTGTGTGGTTGGTGCATTCTGAAAAGTAACAGTTTAATCTGTAATTTGCCCCAAATTAATGCAATGGACTCTTGCAACACAAGATGAGGCTTTGTTCCACTGTAAGCATGGAAGTATGAGAAACAGAAGAGCTGATAATGATGAAATCAAACAACTTTGACTGAATTCACACATTGTGCTATGAACACTTTACTTCCACTGAATACATTTGTTACAAAAGAGATAGACCCCTGTGGCAGCAGAGGCTTATGTACCTCTTCCCAGATGTTCTGCAGGGTGAACAGGCTGTGGTGGGTGTTGTCTTTTAGTATCCTTTCGGCTCACCTCGCCAATACCACTTGCAGGGCAGCTGAGTACCAGTGATCTCCTGGGCGGTTATAATCCCCCCCTGCAGAGTCCTCTGGTCTAGTTTGTGATGTAACCAGTTAGGATGTTTTCTAGCCACCCTTTGTAAAAGTTAATAAGAACTTGGAACATAAATTGTATAATTTCTGTGCTGAGATCTGTGACATGACCATGACAGGTTTTCTGTGATGCAATAATAACTGCCTAACATCAGCTGATGGCGTTAGTATTTAACTCATAGCACTGCTGTGGCTAGCAGCTCTTAGAGATGCTCGAATGGCTGAATACTCTCAGTCTGTAGACTGTCATGTTTGACATTTTACTTCTGTTTTTACTTTTGTCACATTCTTTGCACATAACGTACTGAAAAGAAATAGAGTCTATTCAGCAGAAGACAGAAAGTCTTTTCTGAGTCAGAGTGCATAGGCCAGCTAACAACATGTTGGAGATATTTTCCA